AGAGAGAGAGAGAGAGAGAGAGAGAGAGAGAGAGAGAGAGAGAGACAGATGGTGTATCTAGGAGTGTTTTGCTGCAGTCTTCCCACTTACTCTCAGGAGGTGGATGCTGGTGTGTCAGCCCCATACCAGGAGGGATGGGATGGGATGGGCCTCTCCTCCCCGGCAGACCCAGACCCTCAAGGCAGATATGCTGTTAAGTCCAGCCTGCTGGGCCCATTGCTTAGCCCAGGACAGTGGAGCAGTGGAGCAGCCTTCACACCCTCCAGTTCCTCTGGTGCCTTCCCTGAAGATTCCAGCTGCCTCAAGGTCCTGAGCTCAGCAGGAGAACGACATCCTGGAGACTGGGTCTCCTGGGCTGTTCCCCAGAAAGAGACTGGGGGTGGTGGTCAAGGCTGACCCCACACAGTTCCCCACCCTCGGTCCTGCACACAGCCCCACCTGAAAACAGGAGCCTCCTATGTCTTGTCCCCACCAGAACCTTTTACCAGATTTGTTTCTTGGGCTGGGGATGTGTCTCAGTGATACAGTGTCTGCCTGGCATGTGCAAGGTCCTGGGTTCCATCCCAGGCACCGTGCCCCCACCAGTCTTAGTGATGGCAAAACGTTCATAGGCCGAGTGCCCAAACTGCAACCCAAACCCACTTATTTATTGGAAAGTGGCATCACTGCAATGAAACCTGAATACTGAGGTTTTAGTTTGGAGCGACAACTCATACACTTGGCTCACGTTCCCCAGGCAGGGGTCTGTGTGCCTCGCCGTGGGATGCGGGCCGTAGGTTCACCACCACCATCTTAGGCCCTCCTACTTTTGCGAGAAAACGGATGAACTTTCAATCAAGTCCGATGTTCAGTCAACAATAATGGACCAGCACCGGTCTTTCTCTGTCTCTTCTTTGTGTGGTGCTGGGGATCAAATCCTCATAGATGCTGGGCAAGCACTCTGCCACTGAGCTATGTCCCCAGCCTGTATTGGTCTCTTAATTTTGATGAAGGCGCCCCGGAAATGTAGGGTGCTACCATTAGGGGGAACTAAGTGGGAGATTCTGTGTCACCCTTGGAGCTTTTCACTGAACTACTGAAAAAGACCCATCTGCCTGGGGCGAGGGGAGGCAGGCAGGTGTTCTGGGGGGCTGGGACCCCGGGGTGGCCATCCCTGCTGTCCGTGGTCAGGCCCCAACTCAGGCAGCCGGAGCTGTCAGTAGTCCAGAAAGGCAGCAGCCCAAGGCGCTGCCTGAAGATCTCACTGCAGGTAAAGGGTTTAGGAAGAACTTTAATTTTCTTCTTTTTGCTGGCGTGGGTTTTAATTTCCTGCGGTTTTCATAATTAGAAAAAGAAGTGCTACTTTAACACAAAACCTTTTTTTAGCCAAAGCGGAATGCGTGGGCAGCGCCGGTCCTTGGCCTGGGGTAGGGGGCGGCGAAAGGGGATGGTGGGCCGGCTCTGGGCTTCCCTGCTTTCCCTCCAGAGCACCTGCAGCTGCAAACCAGTCACCGGACGAGGGCCGCGGGCAGCGGGAAACAGGACACGCCCGGGCGGGCCAGCACTGTGGGCGCGGGTGGACCCGAGGGACGCGCCAGGCCGCGACCGCCTTGCAGCGCAACGGCAGATCGCCACGCTCTGCCCCGGAGCTGGGATTTGGGCGAGGCCAGAGCGGTGGGCGGGGCTCCGGTGGCGGGACCAGCGCGGGGCGTGGCTCTGGGGCGTGGCTATGCGGGCGTGGCCGGGCAGGGAGGGGCCCGGCGAGCCGCGGGTCTCTAACCCCAGGGCGTGGGCGCTGAGGCGGTGCCCTAGGATTCCACCCGCCCAGCCTCATCTCTCCACGAGGACGCCCAGGTTCGCCTCGGAGCCCGGCTGCCCACAGCGGCCCAGCGAGTGTTCTGGACGGATGAGCGCATGCCAGCCGTCAGCGCCCGCGGGCACTCGCCCTCTAGTGGGGAGCCAGTGCCCTAGGGGAGGCCGTTCAGACCTGTCGGTCATTGCTTCCTCCCATGGCTCAGGGAAACGTCCACGGCGCTATTGTCACGGTTTATAGAGTTCCAGCCTGTTAAGTTGAGGGGTTAAAAGATAAGTTCAGGTCTTAACTCTGGCTTTTGTGAATGTGATCGCTCTCGTTTGGAAATAGGGTCATCAAGGTGAGATGAGGTTAAAAAAAAAAAAAAAAAAAGGAGATCATTCAGGGTGGGTTGTACTCCTGTAGGACTGTAGTCTTCATGAGAACAGAAAAACGGAGAGAAGGCCGAACAAGGTAGGCACGAGGATGGCGGGATGCGGGTATCTGACATAGCCAACCTTGCGGCCACCACCAGAAGCTGGGCAGAGGTGAGGAAGGGGCCTCCCCCAGAGCCTCCCGCGCCCTGGGTTCAGGCTTTCAGCCCCTAGAACTGTAAAACAGTCCCTTTCTGTAGTTTGGTGACCCCAAGAAACCCCTACAAGAGGAACCACCAGACCTGGCAGCCCAAAGGTCCAACCCCAGAGGTGGCACTGGCACCTGGGACGAGCACAGGCTGTGGGTGCCCTCCTGGGAGCCAACCCCCCAGCCTCGACATTGGCTCAGGAAGTTCTGGGGAGGTAGTCTCTCAGCTGAGACCTGCAGGGAATGGAGGTTCAGCTTCATCCAAGGGGTGGCACTAGTGGAGGTGGAAGCCCCTTTCCCAAACCTGGGACTCTGCTGGCTTGGACGGCCTCCCCGGGAAGCCGCCTTACATGGCGCAGGTGCAGGGGTCCCAGGGGTGAACTCTGGTCCTACCTCAGGCTTCTCAGCCGAGGGTGAGAGGGCTTCTCAGCTGAATTTTAGGCCCATGTCCACTTTCTTGTCCTATGGGGACTCTGGCTCAGTGGATTGCTGGCCCCATGGCCCTAAGGGCCTCACACATTTGCCCACTGGCTGCTGGTGGCTGCAGCTGCTACACCCAGGGCCTAAATGGTCTTTGGCCTGGGGTGGGAGGAGCTTGGCCAGAGCCCCACCTGGGGAAATCCACTCTGAGAGCAGAGTGGTCAGAGCTGGGAAGGGGCTGCTGGTGAGGTCAGAGGTGCGGGCCCCTCTGACCCTTGCAGCACTGCCTAGGCTCAGAGTCTCTCTTCCCTGCCCCTCCGTGGAGGCAGGGGCCACCTGGGGTAGGGGAGGAGGGGCAGCCTGAGCCTGCCGGTTTCCACTTGGAAGCCCTCTTTATTTGGCCTGGGATGGAGAAAGGCTGGGGTCAGAGTGCACACATCCCCATGGAAACAGCCATGAGCCTGGCCCCTGGGGGACCCCAGCACTGGTGGGGGATGGGGAGGCAAAGCAGGGGCTCAGGGGCTCCTTTGGTTAAAGTGCCTGGGCCTTGCCTTTGCCAGCAGCTCTTTTAAGGCAGTGTGGGCGGAGAGGTGCTGGCCTGAGGCTTTGAGGAGCAGAGAGGCCTGGCGGCCACCAGAGCATCCATGTACCTCCTAGAGCGGCAGGCGCCAGGCAGGCGGGCACTGAGTGCAGGCAGCCAGAGTGGGAGTCTTCAGAGACACAACTAGAGCTCTGAAGAGACCAAAAATGGTCAGATGGGGTTGCTGTTCCCTTGTGTCCTGCTCCCTTGGAACTGGGGTTGTCCCACCAGGACCTGCCTGTGGCCTGCCCTGAAAGAACACCTTGTCTGTCAGCCAGCAGTGCTGAGGGTGGTGCCCACACTTTCAGAACATCGAGGCTGCTTGTGTGCCTAAACGGGTGCCCCTCAGGACAGAAGAATGACTTGGGTTCATGTGAGCACCTGGCACAGGAGCTACATGAACCCTTGGAGATGAGGACCTCCTTTCCTCCAGGATTCCATCTGCGGGGTCCCGCTTAGGCCTTTTTCTTCCTCCAGTGTTACCAGATGCAGGCTAGGGGTGGGTGAGTTCTGCTAACCAGACCCACGGAAAGAGACGGAGTGGGGCTGATGGGCTCATACTGGGTGAGAAAGGGCAAGCCAGCCCCAAATAACTTTCTTCGAGAAACTCCAAACGCACACTTGCATGCTTTGAATAAATTTGCATGTTGGTTGCACTATTCTAAAGGCGGCTTGTTTTGGCGGGGGCAGGGGAGTGACCCTAACTCCCAGTCTGTGGAATTGAATGAGCTGTGGTGGTCTCCCACACGTGCTGTGGGGGAATTTAAGAGATGCAGGTTCAGACGGTTCTCCGGAGGGATAGGTGGATCGAGTCTGGTGAGGGCATCTACTGTCCCTTGCAGATCCAAACGGATTTGGCCCCTGCCCAGTCGCACACCTCCCAGGAGCTCCCTGTGGGTCAAGGTGAGTCCTGGCAGGGCACATCATTGGGTACCGCGTTTCTTCCAGCTGCTGAGGGACTCCACACCCTGCACAGCCCAGCAGGGCCTCCTCATATGGTGGTTGCCTCCTGGGGCTTCCAGTGTGCTCTCGGCCAGTTCCAGTGCAAAGGAAAGCAGATGAAGCTGCAGCGGATCTCAGTGGGCACTTCGTTCTCCTCTCGTGGACCTAGAGCCTCACTCAGGCTCTCTGCCCAGTTCCTCGCCCATCCTGCTGGCTTTTCATGGATGCTGCTTGGATTTGGGGACTTCTTTCTCACTCCTTTCAGAGGGCAAGGAGCCCAGGACCATGAGCTCCTACGGGTCTGGAGACCCAGAGGCTGTGGGAGCAGGCAGGACCAAGGCTGGAGAAAGGTGCCGTGGCATCGTGGGCTACAGCGCCTGGTCTCAGCACCACGGCTTGCTGAGCGCCTGTAGTATCTGTGGGTGAGCTATGCACAAGTCTTGAGGCTGCAACCCACTTTAGGGATGCATGACCCTGATCCAGGAGCCCATGTCCCATTCTGCGGCACTTTTAGGAAGGGCCATGGGCAGTAGAGCCTCCAGGCTGGGACTTGCAGTGCAGATAGGGCCGTCTTCCGCCCTGCAGGAGGGTAGGCACCTAACTTCCAGCGCCCAGGGCCAGCCGCTCTCCTCGCGTCTGTAACCTTTCCCTTCCCGCAGCGTCTGGGAGGTGCTCCGTCCCTGCGGATGTGTGTGTGTGCAGTCGTTCCCGTGGCCTCGGGAGTCACTCGTGGACGCCCCCCGGCGTCTGCCCGGCCTCGAGGACCTTAGACCTCCTCGCGCGAGCTCCACTCGGCTCCCGCAGTGTCGGTTCGAGGACCCGCACCCACGGGCACTCAGGGGCCCCAGCGCCGGCCAACCATACCG